GCCCTAATTTTACGTAAAAGCCGTGGGGCCAATCTCAACAAGGAACTAAAATATATGAAAATAAAAGAAATTGATTTTAACAAATTTGTTTTTTCTTAGATTATATAAACAAATGTTGAGGTTATAAATGATAGATATTATATAAACACTGAACTTCTTAAAGTAATTTAGAGGATTTCTTTGTATTATATATTTTTATAAAGTATTTCTTTTTATTTACACAAATACAGTATTTACAATGTTCTTAACCTATAAAGTAATAATAAAAATAATTAAAGAAGAAAGAAGAAAATCAAAACAAATTTAAAAAGTTTGGTCCCTGTGGCAGTGTACCTTTAACGCTGGCAGCATTTCCTCGCTGTATTGCGAGACTTATTCTTTGAGCCAGGAAAGTGCCAGCTCTGTGGTCACCGGTACTATCTACCAGGCGCCAACTTAAATCTTTAATAAGCGCCTGTGCACTTGAACCCCACGGCCCAAGAGTCTCTACTCCAAAGGGAACAAAATTGAAGTTGGAGGAAATTGCCATCGTCTCTTGCGATGCCTGTTGGCTCCAAAATTGCTGGAACATTGACAGAGGCAAGAGAGCGGCGTATAATGTCGTTTAGCGCGGCATGGCGAGAAAAACGACCTGCACTCTTTTGGCAGTGTAGGCCATGGTGTCCAAGGCTACTTACTTCAAAACCACAGGGACACTTATGGGGAGTACATATGGGCACTCCTAAGCGTAGGCTGATGGCAATTCGAAGTGATTCAGGGTCTAAAAGGGTGCCAGTGTTTGGCGAAGGATAAGCATTAAGCCAATGTCCAGCTTCCCTAGACCTATGGAATATAAGATACATGTATCACTTATTCCACGACACTAAATTTGAATCGGTAGACATCCCTGCTCATCGGCTAAGAAGACAGAGGATGTAGGCCAAGAGAAAAAGCCGGCGTAAAAAACTCTCGGTACTCTTTTAAAATAGCAAATCATCATACAAAATGACTATGGCAAACAACACTTATTTTAAACAAATATCGCAAATTAATTAGAAGTAGCCTGTCTAGCACTAGTCGCAGACCCTTTTATCAACTAGATAATCGCAATCGCTAAATTTTACACAGCTTTTCTTTAATATATTTCGTAAATTTATTAAAAGGTAGAGAGATGAAAGAGCCTCTCCTCTCAATAAAATAAAGAAAAGTATTACTTTTCCCAGAATCAATACTTTAGATAGTCTAGTATGTCATATTGCCTTTCGTTTACTCAACTCCAAAACATTAAAACATCATTAAACACATATGCGTCATACGCATATTTAATACATTAAATACGAAATATTACAAATACCAATTTCACCTCGATATACGCATACGCATATTATCGCAACATCTTACACTCAGGGATAGGGTTAGGGTTGAAGGACTCCTATTTCCGCAATTAGACTCCTGATTGGTCCGTTGTGCGTTAAAAGTCCTGGCTAATTTAGCCAGCCTAGCTCCTTCCAGAAGCACAGAAGTCTCCTGGGTACTTCACAGGCTTCCCGGAGCGACCTCACTGTTCCGAGGATTTTGGCACGTTGATTAGCCACAGCCTCGCATTCCAGGACTACGTGGGTGACTGTTTCCTCTGCGCTGAAACAGCCTCTGCACAAGGGGCTGTCTGTTGCGCCTAGGACAAAAAGATGTTTATTTAGGAGACAATGACCCGTTATTGTCCCTATCATTGTTTTAAGGTTGGTTCTATTTAAGCTTAGTAGTCGCTTTGTCAGTTGCGGGTTCACTGCTGGCAGAGCCATTTTGGATTGTTTTCAGACCGCACTACGCGACCATCGTTGATGATGGAGTTCAGCGGATCTCTGGCGAATCCAGGTTCGCACCAGCGAGAAGGGCAAGGCATCTTAGACTCATTATAATATCCAATATTTCTCTTTCAAATGGTTTCGATCTCTCGGTGACCATGATTGAACAGGGCAACGGGCAGGAGGCTTATCTGATGTTAGGATAATGGCAAAGGCCTCTAGAATGTGGAGCCGGCCTTTTAAGAATTGGTGCGCTCTCTTCTTGATCTAAATCTAAATTTATGCATTAATTTACTTCGTATCAACCAACTTAAATAAATAGACCAAGGAATTATTGTGGAGAAATTATAAAGTTATGTGGGTAGATCCATTCAAGAGTCTACCCACACTTTATTGCTATGCAAGGCTACCATCGCGCGCACCGGTGTGCCGCCCCGCGCACAGTTTAAGCTAGACACTCCTACGAGAAAGTCGTCTTCTCAGCCCAGTTCGGTACCGTGCGCCACCTGAAAGAACTAAAGTGGAAGTTGTGTAGTTCAAGGTAGTGAATGAGAAGTGGTTTCTTACCAGTGACTTATTTTATCTTTCAATTCAATTTAAGAATTCATATTTATACAGTCCACTTAGTATTTATTCAGTCTAAAAATGTGTTCATTATACGCCTCATTTATTTTCAATTTACAACAGTATTCGGAATATATTTCAGATATAATCAACTTCCAATCATTCTATGTTTCAATCTGTTTTAAAATTGAATCGAGCTTTATGATTGGATAATATCGGTTTTTGATCCGTTATCTAGAGCTATTTCGTTAACCACAAATTTAATTTCCGTTCGAATCAAATCAAAAGTAAGGTTCGTTCGATTTTTAAATAAATTTATTATTTAACTGGCCACATTATTTACACGTTCGATTTTAAACTAACTTATAATCACTTTCATAGTTGATAACAGAAGTGTCTGATATTAGATAGCAAACTTAGTTGTTTATACTGTTATAAAGAGGAAAATATTAATTTTTGTATGTTTGTAACATATAAACATACTACTGGACCAATGTTGAAAATGTCTATAACATAAGCTTTATTTATTATTAAAATATTTAAAAAAATCAAGCCGTGCGAAGCCGCCGCGTCAGGCCGAAATAAAGGTGAAAATATTAATTTTTGTATGTTTGTAACATATTAACATACTACTGGATTTTGATACAAAAAAACATACTACTGGACCAATGTTGAAAATGTCTATAACATAAGCTTTATTTATTATTAAAATATTTAAAAAAATCAAGCCGTGCGAAGCCGCCGCGTCAGGCCGCTCGTAAAAATGGTAAATTCGGTTTTGCATAAATTGATGTTTCTTTACGTTACGACGTTATTAAATACGCAGAAAATATCCCGTATAATATATTAAATCACTATTTTCACTACACTGGTAAATTAATAACTCGTAATTACTGTTAAACGGTTTTATTCAAGTTCAGTGTTGTAGCGACACCTACAAACCGAAACTACATTCACTTTACTTATGTCCCTGAAACTCGCTAACAAAGTTATTCCGGTCGGCTAAATATATTATTATACATATATATATTAGAATAAATACAACATCTCATCCTTAGACAATGGGGCCTTCAGGCCAGTCAATGGATCGACTGGACGAGGATCCTTCCTTTCAGGTCGGAGAAAGAGTAGCACCTTCCTTCCTCCAGTGTTTTTTCTTTTAAACGCTTAGTTGTGGAACGACGGACGTCGATACAGGTGGAATTTCGTATTCTGCCTCGACGTCCGATGATGAAACTCAGCTGCAGGTATTAATCCCAACAACTCCACTGAAAATTCTTCATGGTAATTGCGGTAGATGATGCAGAGAGACCCCACAATTCTACGCAACGCCAAGGGATCAAACCGCTCGGAAAGGGATTAGTCGTTTAGGTGTTTGAGAATTCCGAGGTACTAGATAATGTACTACCTACTCTACGAACAACAATATTTGTCTGAAAATGTTGGAGTACATGGGCTGCTCGTACTTCTACGAAGCTTAGTCTTATATATATAAGAAAATCTATTGAAAATCAATCAAGAGGAAAAGGAACGCTAAATTTCACTTAAACGGTCATAAAAACTACATTTTATAAATTTTTATAAGCTTTATAACAGGTAAGATTATAGAAATATATTTCGCAAAAGTTTTGCACCAAAAATCCCTAAAGAAACACTTTTCATAATTATTATCCAACTCAAGGATTTTTATCTTATTTTTCAACTTTTTATGAGCCCCGAGGCTCTCCTAATATTAATCCTTTACTTACCTCGACTTTAAGTAGAGGTACGTGGAATAGTAGTTTAAAAGAAAATTACTACCACGGATAAGTTAGTCACAAAGTAAGAAGTTTTGACACTGTATTGTGTTAACTATACACGATTATAACGTTACAATTATAACTTAATATATACTAAATTACTTCAGCAAATTAATCTTCAATCGCTACAAGGCCTTCCCTAAACTCATTTCATCATATTTCTTCCCAACCTCAATAACTCTCATAGTACGTAATAAGTTTCCAGACCATTTTGTTTGATATTTTCAAGCTAATTATATCTTTTATTTTCTAACTATCCTTAGGATTATAAAGCGTAGCAACTAGCAAGCTTACCATTTAACTTTGACTATGATTCGATACCAATTTTGCGACATTGCTACTGATATAAAACTACAATGGGTCTTTTATTATTTTCCATATTAGTGCCAGTTAATTATTTAATTATGAAATTATAATATAAAGTTAGTTTATATAAAAGATTCTAAATTTTGATTCGTTTTATAGTTTGGTCTGAAGTGTCTTATCTTCTTTAAATACTTTTTCAATTTGAACAAGTAGTTTCTAAAATTAGCGTGTTCCACTAAACACTCTCAAAACAAAAAATATAGGTGTGTACGAAGATATTGCTAAAAGTAAATATGTATAGAAAAGACATCTCCACACCGCTTTAAAGACTTCATCAAATGTAGCATTTCTTTGACTTCAAATAAACTATAGCGTTTATGTCTCAAGGTATTAGTATTATAAAATTTAGTTCTTCAAGTATAAATACACGAAAGTTTTAAGAGCTAACAAGTAAATAATTACTCAGCAATTTTTTTTATTGATTTATCGTAAGCAATTTTTGAAGCTTTTCACCTCCAACAATAGAAATCAGGTCAACGAGTTTGCGATGTTCAGTATTGACTTTTATGGCTTACAACTGGAGGTAAGTAAGAAATAGCATTTAATTTATTTAAAAAAAAATTGCACATTAATATGCAAAATATTAATTATATTAGAATACGTTCAGATGGTTTCAATTAATAAAACAAATACATATATAAATCTTTGTGTCTTTGGCGTCTGACTCCGGTCGCAATATCTGCATGGGGTTTCTAGGAATTCGCAAATGATTCATTAAAAACAGTTGCTACACCCGAACTCGGCGTTACGTCCAAATTTGCTATAGCCACATGAATTTTGTACTAAAGTATGCTATAAATTCAAGTTGAATTTTCTACTAAAGTATGCATTTAGTTATATTTTTTTATTTATTCACAAAATATGTAATAATATTGTTGCATGGTATTGAGATTCAAAAACATCTAATTCACAAATATGTTTATAACAATCTTGCAAAAAGGAGATAAGTGCAAATTAACTGTTCCCTTTACACATACGAGAGAGCTTAAAAATAATCAATGGTGGTATTTCTATAAGCCTCCAAAATACTAATGTTTACATCTTTTGAGTTTTAAAAGTGTAATAGTTTGACTTGACGGCCGCTTTCTATACTCGATACTCTAAAGTGATTTCCAATCCAGATTTGAAATAGTTTATTTATATTCAATCATTGAAATGCAAAATGCTGATCGATGCCCTAATTGCAAAACCGAACCCTCCGAAGTACTTAATTAAACATACAGCGACTACACACAAATTACGTACAAAAATATTTGTACTTTTCTCGTTTCGATACCAACGTTTTATTTTTAAACAACCATTACCTGTTATGAGCGAAATTCTTTAATACGAGATAACTGATTGGATTCATAGGAACGAGGCACGGCATCACCCAAAGAATGGTACAGGAAGACCAACGATGACCTCGCTGGCGACCCAAAGTGAGCCTTGGCCTCTGAAACTAGGGAACGCCACATTTGCCGATCACGTTCCCGCTTTCCCCGACGCTGTTCGCGGTCGGTCGTTTTAACAATTCGATCCTCTCCCATACTCTGAAGATGACCAGTCCATCGGACAAGCATATTGATGCTCCAACTGTTAAAACATCAAAATAAGCAAATCTCGCTGGATACATAATGACATATTTAGGTTTTTCCAGAAAATTTTTGTTATCAAATGTTGCTTCGTGAACATTTTTATGACAATTCTGGAAAACCAGCGCCATTAAATATGCAAGCAGTTCCTGTGGGTTGAAATTTTACCTCATTCAGAGCCGTAAATAATTAAAACGTCCGCAAACAAGGGTAATCAGTTGTGACTGGCGTTTTTGATCGTTTAACAAATAATACTGCCACAATCCATTAATTAAAAGTACTTAAAACTTGGTAACTTTGCCCCGAAGGCCCCCAGTGGCTTAGGTCGTGATATTCTATATATCCTAAGCGGTCGAAATAAATTTGTTGACGGTAGATGTCGGTACAACTTGATTGTTAATTTATTGTCTTAGTATGTTTTAATAATAGGCCAAGAAACCACGACACGATTAAACAAAAAAATCAGTGGTGCTAAAACCATTAGGTCTTGGCCTCAGATTTCTGAATCTGTGTCATTATCCTTTTTAAATCTAATAGGCATGTAAGTGATCAGCCTCCAGTGCCTGATACATGCCGACGACTTTTTGGGTCTAAGACATGTCGGTTTCCTCACGATGCTTTCCTTCTCCGTTCGTGCAAATGTTAAATGCGCACATAGAAAGAAAGTCCATTGGTGCACAGCCGGGGATTGAATCTACGACCTCAGGTATGAGAGTCGCACGCTGAAGCCACTAGGCCAACACTGCACGACACGATATGTTTCAGTAAAATATTTTTTACGTGGAAACCCTTATTAAATCTTCTATCTATACACATTAATAAGAGGGTTGTACAATCAATAGTCATAATGCGATCATCCTCATTGGAAAGAAAAAAAATACTGGCAAGCATTGGATATAATAATAAAAAAACAATCAATTCTGTTTTGTTTTTAAAAAATGGAACTCATTTGCGTCGTGTCGGAACGTGATCTTATAAATGGGTCAAATTTATTTCGTACGGTAATAAAATATCTTCCCTTGAAAAATTTCACTACGGAGCTGTGTGTTTCAAAACGGGACGCCCTTCGGTACATAATTTCCCAAACTGTTTTGTTTCAAGAAAATTTTGATTTTTGCCTCGATTCCTAACTATGGCCGAAACATGACTTTACCATTGACCCGGAAACGAATAAATAGTCCATGATTTGAATGAGACCGATATCTTTAATTCCAAAGAACTTTAAGTCGGTTCCATCCGCTGGTTCATGGGCTATTTCTACTGGGGCAGCCCAGCGGTTGTAATGATCCAATACCTTAATCATGGAGCCACTATAACGTGGACGTTGTACGCGGGACAAATAACAAAGTTGCGTGAGGAATTACGCAAGCAATGGAGTGGCAATCTCGCTAAAGTTGTTTTGTTTCATAACGCCCCCACGCACAACTCCAGAATTTCAATGTCTGCTATTCAAGCTTTAATTCTGGCTTCGAATTGATGGAATATCCTCCATATTCAATAGAATTAGGATAAATCTTCCAGTTTCCATGGTTAAAGGGACATCTCAAGGTTCATAAATTTTAATAATAATTATGATGACACAATAGTTGTCGCGGTACACGATTTTTTGTTTGAAAACAATTTTTTTTAAAGGGAATTTCAGCTCAAGATACAAGAAATACAAAGGTGACTAGGTCGAAAAATATGTCGTGTATTTTTATCTACGCTCTCAGGCGGGTTTTTTAACGTTATCATAATCCGCGAGATGTTAACTTTTTTAATAACGGTTTTTTGATATTACGCGAAAGGAAACTTTAAATTAATTTATGTGAAGTCAATATAAAAAAAACACATTTTATGACAACCTTCATCCGTTATTGTTATCCTCTTTGTCATCCCTCTTTCATGGTATTTAACAAAAAATATGCATTGACGGAATTTCTTTAATATACTCGTAATCATTCAGATATTTTTTTTGTCCTAATAACGTGTCTTACAGTAGCAAAAAACTCTTTGGATTTAATGTGTACTTAACAATAAAACAACTACAATATACACAGATATTATGTCAATCAACTGGACATTTTTGATCATAAAACCATCGCTTGTCTGTTATTGATTCATCAAGTTAATTAAAAAGGAATCAATCAAACATATCAATCAATTTGATCTAGGATTTTTTTGTGACCGCAATTGTGCTATATGAAAATCATTGCAATTAAAAAAATATATATATAAGAGTATGCGATAACAAATTTAAAAACAATGTTAAAATTAACTAAATAACAAATGTACTTAATAATGAGTAGGAAAATAACCAATTTTTGGAGTTTGTTACCCTATAATGATAGTTTTATTCATTGTACCAAAGATTGCGTGTGAATACGCAATAACCCTCAGTTCCACAACTGTAATAAAACATTGTTTGCAAACCATAAATATTCACAAAGATTTTTTGGCTATATAAAATATCTACTAAACCTTTAACTAAAACAACAATCACGAAGCTACTAAGTTACTAAGAAAGTATATTATACTATTTTAAGTACATCCTTTTAATATTATAAAAGCGAATGTTTGTTACTCTTTCACGTAAAAACTACCGAATGGATTTTAATGAAACTTTACAATAATATAGTATATACATCAGAATAAAACATACAGAACTAATTATAAAGATATTGTGTGAATTGTTCAAAATATCAAGTAAGTAGGAAAAATCTACCATCTGCGAGCTATTCTAACGTCGCTGCCAAAACCGCTAGAGTTACACATACGAGTATCTAATGTATTATGGAAATGTTTATCCTAATTAGTCCTACGAAAAAGTCCGCCTCAGTATATATCTATATCTTATGTACACATAAGGGAACCATAACTACAATAATAATTGATAATTATTTCAAATGCACATTTGGTAGTAATAAATTGATTCCTAAATGAAAATAGATACTTTTATCGCTTCTGGTATTTAAAGTAGATACAATATTTTACATGTATTAACAGTATGTTAAATGTATAATTTTAAAAAAAATCTCGGCGAAAAAAAATGTCTTTCACACAACATCATTTGGGCAAATATTATTTTAATCCTGCGCAGCGTTAGTCGCGGGCACCAGCTATATTAACGGCTTTTTCCTTTAGGCGTAGAGAGACCACGGATCACTTGCTACGGTCCTGACATACTTCTCTCTAGTCTAGTCGACAAGTTGAAAATGGTACAAAATAGAGATACTGCTCTTAAAATGATGTGCGATAGCTCATTGGATCCGGAATGACGTCTAGAATAATGTGCCAAAAGCGTGTATAAGCACATAAAAAATTTCAAAAGTTATAAACAATTAAAGATGAAAAAAAATGGCATTTTGTTTTTTGCCAATATTTAATAAACTATTAATATTTAAGAAATTTCACAAGATTCTGAAAGAAGAGGAAATTTCCAATAAAAAACTCCTAACTCCCGGAACTCTATCTCCATTATTTATAATTTTAATTTAACGCTGAAAATAGGTCTGCGCGTGACATTTTTAGGATGCGCGCGTGGCGTCTAAAGCGAGTACGGCACATTAATTTATTTAAAGGTATTGAATATTTTTTTTAAATTGTTTGATGTTTTGGCACTTTTTTAGAGTAAATTCCTGAGCTATCAACTTTTGCAGAATCTTTTTTGAATTTCTTAAATATTAATAGCTTTCGCTGCCTTTATTACATTATTGGACAATAAAACAAAATGCGATTTTTCAATTTAATGCTTTAATTGTTTATGTCAACAACTTTGCAAAATTTTTACGTAAGAGCTAATACTACGCCATCTTCGCACATTTTCTAACGTCTTTTCTGAGAAGAACGCAATGAGCTATCAAACATACAATTTTAAGAGCAGTATCAAGTATTTTGTAAACCACTACGTCATCAAAATCTTGTCGACTAGACTAATCTCGCTGCCTTTATGACATTCTCCATGTAGTCCATTGAAATGCTACATTTGCTGAACATATAACTTATATAACTTTAGAATTTTGGTTTTATGATAAAAAGTTACATAGCCATAATTGTAGGCACAGCGTATTTGCTACAAAACGTGTCATAACAAATTTTATGTACGATGGATAGTTTAGGGGATATAGCCAAAAACGTGTTTATTTTCTGCAACACTTTTTTCCAAGATGGCGGCCGGGGACAAGCACGTTGTATCCCCACCTTGAGGTTAGGCTTTAAAAGAGAACTGAACTACCACAAAAATGTTCCAGTTGTAAATAAAATTGCGCCATCTAACAAATCGATTCAGTTTGGCCCTAACAAATTTCTAACTGAAGTGCCTGGTTTCAATGGACTATAAATGACCAATGGAAAAATTTTAAGATAAAGTTCGATCGTATATGTTCGGTGCCCCCTTTGCAATGAATTCTGATAGTGAACATAACTTAAGTTTACTATTCTGCCAGTTGCCTCGTCTGTGAATGGCTATTAAGTTTTATTACATTTTCAAAAGTCCATGGAATGTTTCCGTTGCTGAAATATAACTTATATAACTCTTTAATTTTGGTTTTATGGTCGCAAGTTCATAGCAAACCGTAGGCACTGGCTAAAAAGTGTCAGTTTGGCCCAGATTGTAATTTTCAATGGACAATAAATATGAAATTATACAGCTGATGTTCAATCATCTTAGTCGAACATCACACTCAGCGGTTTTCGCATCATGCGAATGACTGCTTAAGTCTGATTTCAGAGGACGCGTTTGTGCAAACCGCTTGTGAGTTCTGTTAAGTGAGTTGAAACTAGACTCGCAAAGGCCCAGTTATTATATTTTAATACGATAATAATATTATGTACATATAACGCGTTTTGTGTTTTTGTTGTTCACAAAATTAGGGCCAAAACATGATATAGCAAACAAATGCCTATAATATTGGTTTACCCTCTGCATAATCTAGATACTTGCGTTCAATATCCTGTAAAACAATTATTCTTACAGGTTGAAATTCGGATACCGGTCCACTTTTTCTGCTACTTGGTTAAGTGGCAAAAATGAAACAGAAATGTAGACCATAAAACATAAAAATACAATCAACACACACAAGCGATATGCACCCTGTAGATATCCCAGGCTTACCATCATTCCATTTGTCCCTCCTTACTACTAAACTCATCGATGTCCAGATTGAGCATTCTGTTAAACGAGCTGGGTCTGGATATCCATAGTTGCTCCTCTCACACTTTTAGATCGGTTTTCGTTTAGTGTTTATATAAATTATATTATTGTTTTGCTTAATTTCTTTTTATTATCTCATATGCTATGTTTGCCTATAAGTGCTTGTCACATTAAAAATTTTATTTTATTTTTCTTGTAACAATGTATCAGTTTGCCGATTGTTGGCAAGCTTTTATAAATAAATAAATAATCATTTTTCACAAACACTAAGTTTCTCTCTTTTATTTCAGAGGAGAAACAAAAAGAATCTACGGAGCAGGGTGGTCCCTCAGAAGAAGCAGCTGCCACAAAAATCCAAGCGGTTTTTCGAGGGCACAAGACCAGAAAATCAATAAGTATGAAGGCGGTTGAGAAACCAGCTGAGAAGAGCCAGCCAGAACCGAGCAAGGCTGAACTGGAAGCTGAGTTTCGGGCTGATGATAAAGGTAGGTTTATATTGTTTTGGTAATTGGTTATTTAATATATTTGTGCAACTACACGTAGAGAGAGAGAGAACAGCAGCAGCGGAGTAGCATCAAGGAAGCTGGTTTGTCTTAGACAAAAAGTACGAATGGGGTCTTAGACAAAAAATATTATGCTTGTCTTGATAAATGGCCAATATAACAAGCGCAGTGTGCTTTTAATCATATATATATATTATTTTCAGTAAATTTATGTGATGCAAGAAGGGGAGTGTTGGTCTAGTGGCTTTCAGCGAGCGACTCTCATCCCTGAAGTCCTAAGTTCGATTCCCAGCTGTGCACCAATAGACTTTTTTTCTATGTATTAGGGTATTTATTATTTTATTTAGTGTATTTAATCTTTGCCAACGGTGAAGAGTGTACTAGTGAAGAAACCGGCTTGGCTTATACCTACTTAGCTATTATATTGACCAACGATCATGGCACATATCTACAGTAATCTGAGGCCGAGACTTAAGAAAGGTTGTAGGGCCACTCATTTATGAAAACTGAAAATAATCGAAGTCTGCTCTACAAAAAATTTAACGTATCGAGATATTCATTTAAAAAAAATGCAGAAGCGATGTTAGTTCAAAGAATAATGTCAATGAAACTATAATAAGATTCGCCTTGCACCCAAGGGAAGAGACTTAATTTAAAGTCCACATCAATAAATGAATATTATATTGCTGAGCGATATCCCATTTAACTTCTTTCTTTCTTTAATTATATTAGGTTAGCGTAACTGGTTAAATAATAATTGTATGGGTTTCTAAAACATTCTTTTTAATGCCGACTTTGAATCTGAATTCTTATAGTCTTCTTTTATTTTATTGGACGTTACTTTTATAAGAATCTTTTAATTGTAGTGGGTAAACATGGGATGAAACAGTATTTTATAAATTAACAAAAAGTTGGCGGGGAAAAGGTGGTTTTGCCGTATATATCATTTATAATAAAAAATGGAGGGGTTGATCGTAGAGGGGTGAAAATTAGGGGTTTGTATGTATTTTTTAATGCTTTATCATAAAAAAATAAAAACAAGAAAAAAATATCTAAAAAAAAAAAAATATTTAGGGGGGGTGGACTACCCTTAACATTTAGGGGGGATGGAAAAATAGATGTTGTCCGATTCTCAGACATACCCAATATGCACACAAAATTTCATGAGAATCGGTCGAGCCGTTTTGGAGGAGTATGGCAACGAAAACTGTGACACGAGAATTTTATACATTGATTACGTTAAATTATCAAATTCATTGCACCATACTATAACAGTACCAGGCCCAATTCTAAAACTAAATACCTAAAGAATAGGTTCCTACGAACAAGAAACTTTCACTCGGGTAAAAAAGCTTATGAAACGTGACTTTATTTTTCGAATTTTCCGTTGTAATATATTTTATTAATGTCCCCTTCACAGGGCATCCGACGCGCACTTAAATTATTCACTGGTCCAAGAAAATAAGGTTAAATTACTTTGGGCAATATTAAACATGAAACTCTGCATTGCTACTAAATTATGCATCAGCTTGGCTCAAGTATAAAAATATATGCAAACTTATATATATCAACATATTTCATAGAAACATATGGGCTGGTTACCCAGCTCTAACAAACAACTATATGGTTGTGTCTTTCGTCGTCCATAAAATAATATTGTATTGCTTGATTAATATTGATTAATTATTCATCTAAAGGAATATATGATAAAGATCTTTTAAACAAAAATTAAAATCAGTCTGCAATTTTTTTTTGTAAGGAATCTCGCTGTTGGCCTTAAGGGCCTTTACAGCTCAGCTCGGGCTGTTTTGGCGAGCGTAGCTCAGCCTGAACGGGCGTTTATCGCACGACTAGCGCAAGGGCTCCTGTGAGACTCGAACCTCGGCTTGGGCCGTCGCGGGGTGGTCAATCGCCTGTAGGACAGGGCGGAAGCTCACTGGAGTGAGCGAAGTACGAAGTAAAGGTCCTCGCCTTCCCCGGTGAAGGCAGTTTTTTTCCCTAATCTGATTTTGATTATTATTATTGCCCGCGGGCGGCTTTTAATTTGTCATTAGTCTCTGCAATGGAATAAGTCTCTGTTCTTTAAAGTCAACCTACAATCTCTTCTCTAATTAGTCTTCGAGAAAGGGATGATCTTCCTTCAACCAAAAGTTTTAGCGCTGGAAATGCTCGTAATAATGCAGTTTCTGACAAACAGAAGTCATCATAGTGCACGCAGAGTAACTTTCTCGTGGAGCTCAGAGAGCACAATACACACTTGGAACTTGTAACGACGCCACGAAGGTTAAAAATAGTTACAAACCAATCAACCAACAGAAGTTAGATAAGCTGCAGGGGCTATTGTGTTGTTACTTCTAAACTAATGTCGTGAACAAACATTACATTGTTCGCATTTGAATAGCGCAGTAATTTACTCTTGAATGAGAATGTCAAGAAATGGATCAATTATGTAGCTTTTGTAATACAGTAAACATCGTGATATAAATTAGATGTATGTATATATGTACTATGTGTTTATTAGTCATAGTATCACTTCATCATTGAAGTTGTGTTTTGTGATGGTTCTTTTTTGTACGTAATGCGGCAAGCAATATTTTATACCAGGAAATCGAACCTAAAACCTGCGTCTTAAGCATACTCGCCCGCTACTTAACAACTGAGGTAGTCTTTTTAAATACGACAGTGAGTTGTTGCTAGGGAGCTGGCGAGCAAAATATCTATATAATTTGCTCATGTCGCAGACTTTTTAATAGCGAATAATTATACGATAAGGAATATTAAGGACCACGTTTACCGCCATGGTAGCGCTGCGTTGTCAATTGACACCCCCTTATAAACGATAAACAAAACAGGTATACTATTTCATTTGCTTGTGTCCGTCTTTAAGGCTAAAGAAACGTTGTCAAAATGAAGATAATCAAAAAGGCAGACATCAAGGACTCTGACTTTTCAAGTTATAAATTTTTAAAGAATTTTTTTAATTTAAAAAACATATATGAAATACAGACCAGAGACTTGGCAGACCTGCAGTTTTTCTTTAAAAACCCTGCGAACGACCGCAGAAAAATAATCGTCCATCATCGTAGCGTTGCGTTTTCTAAGATGATTAATTAGAATGATTTAATATCGATTTTTTATAGATTTAAACTCCCGTGAAACGCAGCAACGTACGACCTTGAATTCTTTAGAAAATTTTGTCGTATTGGTCCTAAATTAAATTCCTATCAATACAAAATAGTACGAGCAAATGAAAATGCTCCTTAGTTAATGGGCATAAGGTTAAACAATACAGAAATTGGTTTCAAGACTTAAAAACAATTTAAGCGTATTTAAATTGAATTGTTTGAATCGAATCCATGGATTTAGAAACAATCGAACTTCTGTAAGATAAATTCTATTATGTATGTCGAAGATTTAAAGAGATTTTCAAGCGATTTCCAAAAATGTATTACAATATTATTTAACGCGATAGTTTTAGCAAAGACATTTAGATTACTTCGTCAATTAATAGGATGCAACGTCATATTATACAAAATACAAAAGATTATTAGTACTAATCTATTACCTAAACTAGTTTAAACATATTTTTTCAGGGTCGCAGATTCACAATGCTATTTGCACAGGCTTTTTAACGGACTTATCGAATATTCGTTTACTTTGATACTGCTCATAAGGACAAGGTATATAGTAAAATATATACAGTTTGTTGATGATTTTTACGGGAATACTTCCCTACGGGGACCGGCTTGGCATAGTCTTTGCGGAAAGAGAACCTGGGTGAGGCGTTAGGCGGTTATACGAACTAATATAATTCTTGTCGTTTTATCATTTATTCACAAAAATCTAATTTATTGTATTATCGTCAAGCTATAATAACGTTAATAATATAGCCGACATAAAAACAAACGTGATTTTCCACTGCTGTGACCACAAATCTCGCGACGGCTCTCATAGGCTCTAATTAAAAAAGTTGGATTCCTCGAGGTTGTGGTGCTTTAGGGGTTGGAGCAGATCTTTGCTATTAATAGTTCTGTACATTGTTGGGTTTATAACTTGTTTCTCTTGATATTAATTTCTGTCAGTGTGTGTGATAGAAGTTGTATTTTTCTTTTATATCGAAGGATTTGGAACTCCTTCCCTTTGTTTATTGAAGGTTTGTTTTATGTTTTAATACATATTATCTTCCGAAACCAGGAGTAAATAGGCCCGGTTGGACGAGACTAGTCAAATGTGAGCATACGGAAATGGAAAAAAAATGTTATTTTTTATATTATGTCTATGTTATCGTTTTATATGAATGGTTGGTGAATTTATAATTTTGATGGAATTAAACATGACTCCAACCAATCCACTGGATGTCTATCACAATTTATATTTTACATTACAAAGAATCCTTTTTAAATTTAAAATACAATTTACAGGAATATAGCTCTTATTGTTGAAATGTAAATGTCATTTTTCGTTGAAGCACTGTTGCCCCAGTTTGTTTGTACTCCGGAACGGAATAAAATATAATTTAAAATTTACAAAGGCTTTTGCAAGTTCAACTTGTATTTTACATTGGTACAGTTAAAATAAAATATTACAACACACGTTCGTGAATGTTAAATCTGCAGGAAAATGACATGTGCATGACACAAAAGGGATGTTTAAGGCGTGATGCTTTTCCACATTAGTCCATTGAAATGTTACAATTTGAGGGCCAAACTGAACATTTGCTAGAGGACGCAATTTTATTTATGAACATGTAGGGGGGTCAATACAAGCTTAAACCCAAGTTTGTGGGGTTTGCGCCCTTGTCCCCCGGCCGCCATCTTGAAAAAAGGGGTGAAAACACTTTTTGGCTATATCTCCTAAACTATCCATCGTACAAAAAATTTGTAGGGGCATATTTTGTAGCAAATCGCTTTGCCTATCAATGGACTATTTATTAAAAATAGGAGAAGTAGAGAAGACGAGTAGAGATTATTATTGTTGATGTTATTATTTTAAGAATTATAAATTTATAACACGTGTATTGTCTTGGCACGCTTGTTTGACCAATTAATTTAGTATTTTTTATCAAATATACCTACTACTAATTTCGCTTGCGATTTTCTTATAAATAATTAAATATATTTTCTTCTATTTACCTACATGAATCTGTAAATGCAATTCTGACATTCACAAAGTTATTTTAGTTTAATTAGTTAATTAATTATTTTAGTTTAGTAATGTTATTTTTTATTTGGATTTTATCTAGATTGGATTATTTTCTAGACAAAACCTTAATTAAGGATTTATAAGTACTACTCCATAGTATAGCATGGGGTATAATAGTAGACTTTATTTATGAGAAATATGTTATTATAAATATCATATTTATAAATACATAATCAGTGTTTCGTTCACGTATACTGTCATTTTCGTTAAATTAGTAGTGAAATACAATTCGCTACGGCAATGTATCTTATTATT